ATATACATTAAATATGAGTTGGATTTTCTGCTGCATTAGGGCCGTTATTGTTACCCCTGTAGAAAATGTGCAGCCTTGTCCTAGGTCCTACCTGGATATCTAGGCCCGTTGATATCAAGGGTTTTAGGTGTGCTTAGCTCTGTGTAGGATTGGGCTGCCAACTTAAACACTGCCTTGAATTTCTTCAGCTCTGTAAGAAGGAGAAGCAGTCTTAAAACAAAATCGAAACGTTTCATATGCATTAAAGTCAAAATGGTAACCACTTTCTCTCCACAAATGATGATTCTCTGCTAAACTGTGCATGACCACATTTTGGCAACGAAGTCTCCTCTTTCCTTCTGATGTTTTGGTGTTTATTTTGGTCTATCAGTGGACAGCTTGGATTTCCTAACTTAACTACTGCCTGAATTAGTGTTATAAAGGGAACAAACCTGGTTTACGTTGCAAGAAAATGTGAGCGATAACACTTTCCTTTAAGTGACAATTGGAGCAATGATTAGGAAGTAAGCCCTTGGTCAATATTGTAAATATACTTTTCATTCCAAAAATATCTGTTTAACATGTTCTGATTGTAATGTGCTAGTGTTCTAACATTCCAACAATACAATGCCTTTTTGGAGGAATAATAGGCCTTTCATAAGTCAACACTGCCAACAATAAAGTCTTAAAGAACTCTTGGGAGAAAAATTGGATTCTGAGAAGAGCTTGTTCAGAAGACAGGGATAGCTGGTGCGGATAGGGTAGTGGAAAGAAACGGGGCATCACTCTCAGGAATGAAACTCGATACTAAATGTCCTGAATTTTGACATGCATGCATGAAATGCACTCTTCATTCCTGAGAGAGATGCCCATTTGTGTTGAATTGCCCTTTTGAATATTGTTGCAGAACCTGAGAGATATTGCAGTGATCATAGCCTGTATGGAGTTAATAGGAACACTGCTGTTGCTCTGCTTTACTTCTCTTATAGTCTTTCCTCTCCAAGCAGATAAGCTGTTGGCAAAGCTTGACTTGCCTATCATAAGGGAGGAATTTTCTATCCTCCTTTTCCACTTCCATTTCAGAGTTTTCTAAAATGCTTACCTATTAAAAACAGCTGAAATTGTTAGTTCTAGGGTGAATGGTGATCTTTATTTGCTTTTTTTAAAATGGGATGTCAGCTGTCAGCTATTATCCCAACATATAAATATATTTTATAACAATCTGGAATATATTAACTTTCCTTTTTCCAACCCATTGAGGCTTAACCTACAGGTTCTTCATGAAGCTTATGAATAGTATTGCCTCAAAGTTCTTGAGAGTCACTTTTAGGCTAGAAGTGGGTTTTTCCAACCCACGAGGCCTCCCCATCTTCAACCTACGTACCTCAAGTAGTTGCCCCTCCTCCTCACAGGCATACCACCCCAGCAAGATGCTGGTAGCTTGTCCTAGGGGCATTTCTCAATCCTAGCCTTTCCCAAAGAGGAAATGTGAGAGGTAGATGGAGATGTACTAGTGTAAGATTTCACCCCAGACCTGCCAGTAAATCTTTCTTCTCCAGAAACTCA